GCCCACGCTAAGTATCGGAGACTGAGACGCCGATTCTTACCGGGGTGGAAGAACAAATATTGAGTGTCGACTGTCTGACTTTTGGGGACTTGAATATTGATTTTGCGGAAATCAGAGGCTAACCCGTGCCCGACAAAAACACATCCCAAATTGAGGAGTAGCCACAACTTCTTATATGCGACTTTAAGTGGGACAAGATTATGTTGACTAGTCCTAGGGTCCAAGTCACCGGGTTTAATGCCGGAGTATTGAGTGACATAGTCAACAATCGTCTCTTTGATGGTGATATAATCGTCGATAAAAGGTACTCCTTCTCGAGTCCCTGAGCCTCTAAGAACGGAAACTCGAGCAAGGCCACTCTTGCTGGGTCGTACAATTTCTTGTGAACCATCGGCTTTCACGTCGATCTCTGCTTTTTCGAGATCAACAAATTCGGTATCGAGGGCAACAGGAGTACCAGGAGTCGGTTTCTCTTCCTCTGAAAGAGTAGCAAGTGATTCCACGGAGCGACCGCCACTGAAAGGAATTGTCAACATGGGATTATCTAGGATTTGGAGCATAGATTCAACATACTTAAGTGACCAATCACGATAAAGAAGAGTCGTGTCAAGGGCGTTCTTCCAGTTATCATCCCTGGCATGACGAGCATCCTTTACCTGATATGCCAGCACACACGGCACTTTCCACGGTTGAGTGAACCGGAGGGCTTCATCCTTATCTACTTCCGTGACCAGGAAGTCATTGAACAGATGCCATTTATTCGCAGTTTCCGGTTCGCGCGAGGAAATGGACACATTGATAAAGGAGACTAGATGAGCTTTCTGATGCTCAGGAATATCAATTTCTGAAACCACGCCCACCAATTCATACACCACAAGGCCCGGCATGTTGTTCTGCATCCGCATTCGAAGGTCTTCCCCTTCAAAGCACAAAATCTGGCCAGCATCAACTACAAGGCCAACCGCCTCTGGTAGCCATCCGGGAATTGCCCAAAGCCGTCTGCAGATAGGATTATTTAGTGCGGTGTTGAGCATCATAACGAGCGGCATGCGATGTACGGTCTTCCTAATAGCCACTTGCTGGTAACGTCGGCAGTAATTGCACCATCCTCTGTTCTGAGTCTCACGCTCAATGCTTGCTCGTAAAATGTTTGCGAAACGGTACGCAGGGTTCCTACGAATCTGCTTTATATCAATTGCTGGATAAATTAACTCATTGACCAGCGAATTCCCTGGTCGGACGATTTCCTTCTGGCAAAACATGCAGCGAATAGACTCGGAAGCAATGGTTGCTAACTTGTGGTCGAGATCATCTGAGCTCGGGAGAATCATGCGGAAATCATGAGAAATTTGGCCAAGGAAGAATCTGTTGACAGCCTGAATTGAAGTAGACAACGACTTATTCGTCAAGTTCTCTTCAAGCAGTCCCAAACTGGAGGCTTCCCGAAAACTGCCGAAAGTCTTTAGAAGATTCGTCGCTTGACAGTTCTGACCGTCTGCTTTCTCAAGCATATCGAAGAGATAGCCCATCTCACATAGAAGGCAGTTTTCAAATATGCATGTGCTTGCGGCGTGATAGAGAGCTACATTTCGTATCAACGGAATGAATTTGAATAGCTGGAGGAGAGCATTCGTGAAGGAGTTTGCAATGTGTGTCTCCAGACCAGAGAATTTGGTCTGGTTATAGAATCTATATCGAATGTCAACTGATCTGTTTTGGTTCGAAGAGCTCAGTGCATGTCTTACCTAAAGTCGAAATCATCCACACCAAATCGGCTGTATTTGATCTCGACATTACTGTATTTGAGAAGAGGGTCGTCCTCTGTTTCACCGTTAAGCTTCGTGCCCGCAAGTGTCTCTGCCGCATCAGTAACGAGGCCATCCGACTTCGCCTTACTTTGTTCTCTTGCCTTTTCGCTCAAGAACTTCGGCGCAATAAGAGCAGGTTCAGAATTTGCCAGTGCGCGAGTATTTTCTACTTGATTTCGTCGAGTTTTCTTCGGGTTTGGTGCATAGTGCCCAATCTCCGCGGGACGGAGGTAGGGAATTAGTGCTTGGTCAATAGAGGCCGGCGGGCTGCCGATCTCAAAAACAAGGTGGCTCGGCCATGCGGAAAATAAGCGCTCGTGGTAATATGGCATGCCAATCATATTCAAGGGCGTATCGGGTGACCAGTCAAGGGGTGGAGGTCGGGCAGGTACATCTGCAAATTCAACTTCCTTGCTCATCTCGTTGAAGTGTACCTTCGATGGAGAACCCCACAAGTGGATCGCGCACTCTGCATCATTTATGGCTAACGCCTCCCCAGAAGGCGACAAATCGATACCAAGCATGAACGAAACATTGGCCTGGCGGAGGTTGATTGCGTTAGGGTTCATGAGGTCAACCACCTGCAGCTGACCGGTCTGAGACGCAACAAAACTAGTGGTATGCAGTTTAGGATGCATGCGCACATACGCAGCCCCAGCATGGAAAGGTATAGGAGGTAATGGCGAGAGTGTTTTGAGATCATAAACGTTGGCCAAGGGATCGACGATGGGTGATCCCAGATGTCTAACCGAAAATCCACAGGTGACCAGAAGGTCATTCCTAGCATCCATATCATTGACAGCTGTTCCATGAGCCTTCCAAGACTTGACGACACGAAAATCGGTGAGGCTCAAGGCGTTCACTGATCCGGTGTCTGTCGCAGCACAAAGATATCGACTCTTTTTCATCATCGTGTAATTATATTCCGTCGGTAGCTTGTCGACTATGTGTCCCTTATCGATATCAATTGTAAACATTGCCTTCTGACACCCGGCCACTATAACTTTGTTCAGTTGTGCTGTGAAACTCATGCAACGTAGATCCGTCATGTCCTCATGCGTAATGTGCCATTGCGTCAGACCACGCCGGGTTATCATATGAACACTCTTCGAAGACAACGAGATCACGCCTCTATCATGAAACAGTATCTGCCGCACGGGGCCTTCGGAGACTGGGTGTGCCCGAACGGAGGTATACCTCTGTAATTCTGGACCGCAAAAGGAAGTGATTCGGCCCTACCGACGAAGCAGACGCAGATTAGCACATGGTCAACTTTCGAAATGAATGGTCTTACATATTCGTTCCCTGCCCACAACAGTTCCATCACATCATCAAAAGCTATTGCTGTCGCAATCGTTGGCATGCCATGTGGGCTTGGAGGTGGCACCGGAATGCGTGACAGTTCATCCCAATCGGCTTCCATGGTGCTAACATTGCACCCCGGGTTTTCGCCCGAGCCTCTGTTGCCTTTAAATCAGGTGCAGACGGCGTGTGTGATTCCTAAAGGCTGAAACGGTCCTGTCCATTCGGAAAGAGAGCGAAATCGGGCATTGTTCGGCGTAGACGCGATTGCGGGGGGAGCTAACAAAGGTCGTTTTCCAGGGTCGCAGCACACGGTCTTGAAGGGGTAGGAGCCGACCCAAACTATCCCATTCACCAGTAATATTACTTGTCTCTGTTCGAAATATAACTCGGAAAGCCCCCCGAGCATGCTATCTGCAAAGGTGAGGCGGTAATACTGATGAGGTACCGACACGTCATCACGTGAAAGCTAGAGCGGGGGGCATGCTTTATCGCCTTAGGCAGCGATCAGGTAGCCAAAAAGGGAAAACACAAAAACGTACGTCCTCGAGTTAGAGTATACACCTGTATGGATAGGGAGTATCGCTTGCCCTAATGCCGTATTTATACCATAACTCAGGGTAATTAGGTCATATGTATCTGATATTGATCCCATCTATCAAGTCTCATTGTTATAGCTTCTTGAGCATAGACTCGCATCAAAAGTTTAGAACACACACTAGGCAAAACAACCCAGAGTATGTACATACATGGAAGATATAGCACTAATATCCAATGCCAATTCAGCACGGAAATAATGCATACTCATTGCACGTAGAGCTTAACGAAACTTGAACTATATTGTAAGTACTCATATAGAATAATAATCCAGTTCATATATAGTACTACTTAAAAGGCGTTCAATCGCACGTTGTGCCATATCATAGGACAGCCAGATGACAATACCTAGCTCAGGTGAAAAATTCCGATCGTGGAAAAGGCCTTCGCAGCTTGAGGTCTTGAAGCCTTCAAGAAGATACAGGATCCCATTCCCCCTCTGAGGGACTCTATAAAATCAGGGTTTAGCCCTTTGTTCACCCCATTATAGAATAGTGCGCTTACATACCTATGTACCAACCTCTATTGCATAACGGCGATGGATTTATTCTACAAGATGTAATAATCTTCGCTGAGCGTACGTTTGGCAGAGCTTCTAATCAATGCTAAGGGAGACGTCCACACGCTGCCGTTTCTATCGGCTGCGACTAGTCTAGAGGCGTTCACAACCAGTGCCTGTAAGTACATGGACATACTACTGGGATGAAGTTCAGTGTAGCTACATTGTGATTATTTCTGACTCTGAACTGTTGCGACTATGCGGATTCCATCTGCATATTTAAACGAAGTGCATCGAACACATGGCAAATGTCCATATTCGTCATTTGGCTAGGCACCATAACAGAGCGCAAGTAAATGATTGAACACACGGCTACCAAGATCGACAAAGCAGGCTAATGTAACAGAACAAGAAAAAGTAATCCCCCGGCGCTCGCCTAGACCCGAGACCAAGCATCAAACCCTCATCGCGTTACACAAACCTCATTGGGAAAATAGTGCCAATACGCCATTTCATTAGGTGAAATCATGATATTCAGATCTTGTAAGCCTCACCGCTAGCTATTAGCGATAAAATGAAGCTGGGTTGGAGTTAGGCGCCGTTCCTTGCGATGGGTTGTATGCTTGATAGCCTCCTGCTCCGGGGGTTAAAGGGTAAGGTGTCGGTGTTGACGATGTGCCTGGGACAGGGGGTGGCTGATGCATTGGTGGTTGTTGATTGGAAGCTGAGCCTGTAGGGTACGGGGCCTGTGGCTTAGCTGCATCCTCAGGGGCATAAGGGGGGTATTCTTGTTGTTGTTGTTGTTGTTGTTGTTGTTGCTGATGTTGCTGGAAGGGTGGCTGGGCAGCCGGCGGGGCTTGTCCACTAGCAGGATATGGAAGTCGTTGGCTTGCGGACGGATGCTCCACAGGGGAGTCATAAACAGATGTTCCTAGTTCTTGCGGGTGTTCATATGTTGATTCTGGTCGATGATGCACAGGCTGATAGGATGCTCCAGCTGGGGGTGTACGGTTGCGTTGATCGGGGGATTGAGACGGCGGAGGGTACATAGGCGCTTGGTCTGCACCGTAGTAAGGGGATGTATTGGGCTGGTGTGATTGGGTTTCTTCTCGTGACATTAGAGCTATGTTTGCTGATAATATCCACTGGCGATCACAAACCTTGAGGCCGAGGGCTGAAATATCTTTGAGGATCAGATTGCGGAGGGCCCTGAGGATAGCCCATGGATGCCGTAGGCCCGGGATACCCATACTGGGATGGACCAGGCCTGCCATACGGAGGCTGGACGGGGTGCGACATGGATGCCTCCAGAAGAGATTCATAGTCCCGTCTCGCTTTAATGAACTTCTCATTAAGTTGGGTAAACTCATCTTTGTACGCATCAGCAAACGAACTGAAACGGACTTTCAAGCCACTATACCTTTTTTCTGAGAATATTTGCCGATGAGCTCAATCAGCTTAGGTCGAATTGCCAAAGTTGAGTGGTACAGGGCCGTGATTTCCTCATTATCCTGAACGTTTGGTTCGGTGCTACGCGTGCTGAGGAGTGTCAATAGCTTCTCAACGTTCTTTATCTGGCCGAACACCTCGCCTTCCATCTGAGCTTCCCGCTGTAACTCTTCAACTGTAGGATCAGGAAGCTTTTCAACATAGTTGAGGGGGAAAATGCCTGTTTGCCCTCTTAGAGAGCCTTTCCACCAATCCTTATACACGGATTCGAGCACTGCAATGACATCGCCTCTGCGGAATTGTAGTTCGCCAGGCTCTGAAGGCTGGAAGTCATAGAGCGCCCTAACTCGCGAGACAGTGGCAGCAGAAGTACCAGAAGGAACCGCCTGATGTGTTGGGGCTTGTGCCTGGCTGGCAGGGGCAGCACTAGAAGTACTTGACTCCGGCTTTGGCTCAGGGGCCACAGGGTTCTTTTCTCTAATTGAGAGCGCTAGCGCCATTTGCAATTCCTCCTCTTCTTTCTGACGATCCGCATCCGTTATCTCTGTCTTCACGGGCTTTGAAGGGGGCTGCAGGTTCGGGTCTGCGCGATTAGGATGTAAGTAACGAGTCCCACCAATGTAACATTCCGTCGGTGACTTACTCTGTGTCTTCAACTTCATATATGCTTGCTCCATAATACCGAAGTCTGGGTTACTTGAAAACATGTCTGTCCACTCTTGCATACGCTCTAGAATCTTTGCCTTGACCTGCTGGTGGGTGTTCTGCCGGGAACGTTGTCAGAGCCTACGTCAGATGCAGTACGGCAACGATACGTACTCTATCACTAGCAAGACGGAGCAGGGCATCCGTGAAGCTTCGCGATGCTAGTTCACGGTGTATCTTCGGACCGCAATTCTGTGCCAAAGCATTGCCCAACTATGAGAAATGTGAGAGTTTGTTCCGAACATATTCTAGGTGTTTTGAACGGGGGTGCGAACCTCCAAAGTATACAGTTGTACATTGGCATTTCTATGCGCAAGCCTCTTGATCAGGGCCGCAACGGCATCTTTCGCACTATATCCAGGAACCCATATTAGCACAGATTCGTACAGGCCCGGACCGAAGCCAAGATAGACCAAAGGACCAGACTTACCCGGATTCCTCCGCCGCAACTTTATCGCACACATCCTATTAGATCAAGATATCAGATAAGTACACTCAAATCGGATTGCAGTAGATTGAAGTGTTGAAAAAGCTCCCATACAAGAATATATTCCCAGTTCTCCGATGTCAGATTTTCGTCAGTCGCCTTGGCTAATTGCGCAAAAAGAGTCACGTCAGTAAGCTCTACGAAGCAACTGGCCTGGTATCTCGTCCACGCATAGCATGGCAGTATGAAGAATGTGTGACTAGGTTTCCGTACCGACTGCGTCATCAAAAGCGTTCTGCTGTGCGCGGAACATCGTGGTTGTTCTTCCTCCAGTTAACCTAGCAGACGGCGTAATGTCTGAATTGACGGTGACAGGTAGGATCGTATTTCGCTCAAGAGGATACGAGGCTTGTAGTCAGCCTAGGGGAGTTGATCGCCTACAGATATTGACTCGGCTAGATGTTAGCCACTAAATGCTGATGGCCTCCAGGTCCCTGATCAACACCCGGTGCGGGGAACCGGTCGACGGTATCGAGACGAAAGACTGAAGTCGGCTCGCTGTTGAGCAGTGGCTATTGGCTTCGTGGAGATGATAAGGGGCAACAAACTCCCGCTAAGAACTGGAAGGGATCTCAAGAATAACGAGGGAACGTGAAGTTCTCGGGCATTCAGTGGCAGGCTGCAACTGATACTGCCTTACGGTCCTAGTACTAGTACTAGTATCCTCCTAAACAGGTGATCGCGCAGGCGGAGAGCTGCGCCTCTGACGCTGACTGGCCGCGCGCTACGCCCGAATAAGCGAGTTCGGGCCCTATGACGATATTACCGACTATGACGGAAACTTATCAGGCAGGTACAGTACATATGTACCAGCCCACCTCCACGATGGTCACCAGTACTCCTGGTGCCTAGGTAGATAACGTACTGAATAATTGTAAAAAGCAAATACAAAATACTATGAATATTCCTTTCACTTGGATTGGGATGAGTACGTCCGCGAGATAGATACAACTGCCTAACCAATACCCAGAATTTGAAGTGGACGAAAATACACATTACCATGATTTTACGTGTCCCGTAGACAGAGCAAGAGCAGGCATTACATTCCTGAACGTTTTGAAACTCAACTGCCTTTCGCTGAGCTACAGAGACCAGACCGCTATGCAGAATACTTAGCGTGTCTGTAGTACAAATACCAAAAGATCACCCAGACGGGATATACGTACAACATCAGTAGCTTTTCAGTCGCAGTTCGGTTCAGCTCAATATGAGAAGTATGTTAACGGGGAAGACATCGGAAAAGATTGCGCTCTTTTTAATTGAACTAATATTTAAACTGCTAGGAAAGTAGAGGACATCATGAGGATAGTGAACAAGAAGTCATATATTAAACCGGGAAGAGGCCTAGCCGTGCCTTGTTATGTGCTGCTGAAGCCCAGGTCACTCTGCCCACATGGATGCTCATTCATTATGAAGGGTCATATCCCGCTAGCTCTAGCTTTCAATCCAGCCGGCCTAGAAAGCAGAATTACCGGCCAATAACGATAAACGAAGGAAGCCGCATATAGGATTTACAGTATTCTTCATCATCCCAAATATCGGTGATGATACAAATAAAAATAGTGAAGTATGAGGTAACATCATCACAGTAAGAGGATATATTCGAACGTGAGGTAAGGTGGGGAATTTTTTTCGTAAGCCCTGTCACAGCAGGAAAGCAAGAAGTGCAAAGCCATCAATCATCGCCATCTATGAGATTTAGATCCAGAAGAAGAGAAACACGGGCATGGGAGGTCGTCATGAGAGATTGTGCCATTATGCAGCAGCAGCATATCATGGCCCATCAAGATATAAGAAAACATCAGGAGCAATGGGTATCTGGAGGAGAAGACAGAAGACATCGACATATATAGAGACAATTAAGTGTGAAGAGGCTCAATGACCCCCTTTTTGAGCTTTCTCCTGGGCCCTGCTGAGCCGTGCGGCTTTTACAAGAGGTGCTAGATGGGATAGAGGGGCACAAAAAGACATAAAAGGGTGCTGTTTACAATGCGTTAGCACAGCTTCTGTTGATTGGAGTCGGGAACATACCTTCAGCAAGTCATGGGCGGAGGCTCTCTTTTCGGGATCGACCTTTAGTGCAAGATGCAAGAAGTCTCGGAAAACCGGCGTCAAGCTCTGCTCATCCTTGATCGTGGGAGTCCCATTCGTTGCGATCAAGTATAGTGCCCGCAAAGGTGACTCGGTGAGATACGGAGGCTCGCCCTCAATCATCTCGATAGCCATAATTCCCAAGCTCCAAATGTCAACTTTGCGACCATACTCTTTTCTCGTAACGACTTCCGGGGCCATCCAGTATGGGGTGCCGACCATAGTGTTTCGCTTATTGTGCGAGTCGTTGATTTGGGCGCAGAAGCCAAAATCAGCTATACTGGGTTAATAGATATAAGGTGAAATATGAACCAAAGGAGCCTTACTCAATTTTATATTGCCATCCAATGAGAGGAGAATGTTGTCTGACTTGATATCACGATGGATTACACCTTTGGAGTGAAGGTGTTGTAGGCCATTCAGAGTCTTCAGGGGAAATGGTTAGGATCCGGCCCTCATGTGAATAAGGGTATTTTGGGAAACTCACCTCTCTGCAGACGGCAGCAATCTGCCCTTCACTCATGATGTTGAAAGTGACCACATCGGTAAGACTGCCACCCTCCATATATTCCATCACCACCCAGAGGTCCAGGCCATGAAGATAACTGTCCAAGAAATTAACTATGTTCTTGTGCTTACTGTCTTTCATGACGAGAATCTCATTTATAATAAGATCCTTCTTTGGCTGCAGATCAAGATTCATTTGCTTGATGGCAACACAGCTGCCTGTTGCATTGTGATACGCGGTGAATACGCCACCGGAAGCACCCTGGCCAATCTTGTTCAAGTTGTAGTACATCTTAGTTGGATCGCCAGGGGTGCAAATGGCGACCAATCGAGACCGTATATCCATGGCATTGCTCTGGCGAGCTCGTTGCCGTGGGCGAGCAGCGGGAACGGCACGAGCGCCTTGTTGAAGCGTAGCAGATGGATCCTCCACAGGCGACACCTGTTGTGGAGTTGGTTGCGTCGCTTGTTTTTGTTTTGGATGCTGTGTCTGCTGTTGGCGTAGGCTTTGGCTGCGGTCAAGCTGCTTGCTTGCAATTGCCTGTTGAGCTGTAGCCATCGCTTGCTCCTGTTGTTGTTGGTACTGTGTTGGCGTAGAAGCAACAGCGGGTGATACCCATGGAGCCGCTGCGCCGTTGGCCGTGGAGTTTGATCTGCTCAGCTGCGGCCCAGACTGCAAGGGCTCAAATTCCGGGATGGGTGGTGTGCCGAACGGCTGAGCATTCTCCGGAATCGTTCCGAACTGAGGCCAGGGATCCTGTACTGGTCTTGTGGTAGCGTATGAAGCAGTAGTTGGGGGCTGAGGAGCAGGGCGGGCGGGCGTCATATTAGCGGCAGCTGGGGGCCTTGGAGGAGCCCGATTGGGTACAAGGCCACCGACAGGGGGTGACATAGGCTGGGCTACCGCTGGAGTACCACGGGGGATCGGAGGTGGAGCTCTTGGATTCTCAAAACTCCCCTCATGGTTTTGTGGGAAACGAGGACTCGTGGGAGATGAGGCTCGCTGGCCCACAGTGCCATGGGGAGTCGAACCACCAGAACTGGGCTGCGACGAGGAAGTGGTAACTGGTTGATGATGGGCATATGCGTGGTCAAACTTGTGCCACACCTCATCATCTCCTTGCGCATTCTTCTCGTAGAATCTCATGATATCAACCATAGTTTGCGGGTGTTCTTCCTGCTCCTTCTTTGAGATACCGCTTTCCTGTAACAGCCGTTGCCATTCTTTAGGCAGGCCAGTGAACTGGCCTGTCTGATTATCATAGCCAACATGTGTGACATGGACGGGATTTTCCGGTGCAGAGATCTTGATACCACGAGGCGAACCTAGCATGCTGTTGACGAAGCTGGAGAAACTGGCTTTCTTACTTCGCCCCACCGGTTTAGTGCCATTTCCCTCATCGGAATATCGCTTAGTATTCGTCGAGCGGTCGCTATCCGTTCTGTTTACTAGGGCATCCATACGGTTGTGTAGGGCGGTGAAGCTAGCAGATTGTCTAAGTCCTCGAGTGTCGGGGGCTGTCTGAGACCGCAACGTCGGAGGCTTCTGGATTGGTTGTTTGTCGGACTCGGCAGTATTTTCTTGCAAAGCACTTAGCATACCCCGTGAATCAAACGGTGTACCGATCAATTCATCTGAGCTTTGATCGTTGAGTGAGAATCGTCCCGAGTGGGGTGGACGGGATTTGGTTGTGTTGTGGTTACCAGAGAAATAGCCAGATTCGTTGTTTGCAAGAACTGGGGATGGCCCGCCACTGTTCTGATCCAGAGAGGATGTAGAAGATCCGTATGCGTTGGATCTCGTGCGCGAATGTTCTCGGCTTCTGCTGGCAGAAGAACGCGGATACACAGGTGCTGAGGGGTGTCGTTTAAGTGACGTGTTGCTCTGCTGACTCTTAAGCATGCGAGAACTGATACTCGGAGCGTCCTTGTGGAGCTTGCTTGACGGTCGTCGAAATTTGAGGGAGGAAAAACTATCGTGATTCATGACGTGCGTATTTTAGGGGGGGTGTTCCAGCAGGTCGGGCGGTTTGGTGGTCGCAGGGTAAGTGCCGCTAGGCTCAGTGATGGGCTTGATTGGAGGGACTGGAGGGGGGAAAGCCACCTGTGGTGAGGCGGTGCTTTCTGGCTGGGCAGCCCAGTCCGTCAATATCGATTGTGGAACTAGGTAGTACTTCCGGGGGGGGGGGGGGGGGTGCGTGATGCTGTATGGTAGGATGTGTCCACTGAGAGGAAGGTTGTCGTTGGAGCAATGAGGGGATCGGGGATGCAAGAAGATCCAGATAATAATGCAAGGGAGGGCACGAAAAGAAGCTGCCGCGGGCTACCGTCAACCAGTGGTTAGCACGTGGAGAGCCGCTCGCTGGATGGATCAGAAACAAAAGTGTCCAAACGATTAATTCGATAAAGTAGACTTTAAAGGCGGTGACGGGCTTTCGACTCCGAGAGGGGGGAGCATGAAAGGGGAACCCAAAAAAAAAAAATAAATAAATAAAATAAAAAAAATATATATATAATAAATCGAGCAAATTTTATGAATGGAGAACAACAGGACAAAAGTAAGGAAAAAGAAACTTGAAGAAGAGATGTGATTAACCGACAGCTCAACACACAGATCTGCAACCCATGGGGTGGGAAAAGCAAAGCAGAGAAAAAAAAGAAAAAGAAAAAGAAAAAGCAATACCAATGCTATGACGGTGACAACTCGAGAAGAGTACGGAGAATAATTAATCAACCTCAGTTGGGGTACCAGTGATTTAGTTAGATTGGAGGCTGGACCAGCTACGGGGGGACAAGCGAGTGCCAAACGGCCCGTCCAGCGTCATTAGTTGCAATAATAATATTATTAACAACGGTACATGCAGCACTTATGGGGAAGGATAATTTCTTTCACGGGCCAGCCACTGGGGTTGTTGACTTGGCTTGATCTGATTGTCACCGTTGAAAAAAAAAATTAAATTAAAATACGGAGTAAAAGAAGAGAATTAATAATGATAAATAATGA